GGGTCGACTACCGACTACAGATAACATACAATCTGCCTCATCTGTGCGATTAAGCTGCTGTAACTGGGTATTAACGCAAATTGATGACGGAATCAATTACGACCTTGTAGTCGGGATTTGTAGCACAAATTGGTGACGAGATCAATAAGGCAAGATGAAATATTTGGTAAATTTAACTACAGACGAAAGAAAATTCCTTGATACTTTCATACAGCTAATTAGAATAGATTTTCATATTTACTGTCAAACTGACGAATCCTAGAAGGATAAAACAGCTGTATTGATGTAGCATAATTGACGAGTCATAGAAGGCCGAAACAGCTGTATAATGCAGCATCACTGACGAGTCCTAGAAGGAGGAAACAGCTGAAGGGTGTAGCTTCACTGACCAGTTCTAGAAGGATGAACCAACTGTATGATGTAGCATAATTGACGCGTCATAGAAGGCCGAAACAGCTGTATGATGCAGCATACTTGACGAATCATAGAAGGACGAAACAACTGTATGGTGTAGCATCCCTGACGAGTCCTAGAAGGAGGAAACAGCTGAAGGGTGTAGCTTCAGTGACGAGTCATAGAGGGCCGGAACAACTGTATGATGTAGCATGATTGACGAGTCATAGAAGGCCGGATATGTTCTGATCCGTGCCACTGTTCGAATGAATTAAAACATTACATAAAGGTTACATCAGAACTCGGAGACTTTAAGTCTACCAATAGTGTCTACCACTTGCAATCTCGAAGATTGTACAAAAGACACAAGAGTATATAACATATTTTAACACAAATTTTGAGTCAGTAACAGACGCATCTCCATAATACAATAATTTCATTACTTTTTATAAATAAGATAATTTTAGAAGATTGTCAAGTATATGTGTATATTCTGGACCGTGCAAATATTCTAATGAATTAAAAAAAACCCCGTGGTATACAGGTAACGACAAACCTCGAGGACCATCTTATCGTATTTCCATAATATAACTAGAGATGCTACTTGATGGCAATGTCAAAAGTCAAGTTGAAGATAAAAGAATTTTTGTAGATTTATTTATCTTCATTATTAAAGATTTGGACCATGTTTATTACATCGATTAAGATACATTTTTAAAGAATTAAGACAAAATTTTAATCGTTAATTATAGGCAAGATAATCCCATATCACGACCTTATGATAAGTAAACGTGCCCTCATAATATTATACGTCTAGGGAGAAACCATATTGTTACCGTACTCATTTCTTGTGTGAGATCGATCTTTTGTCACGTTCTTACCGGTAAACATAAAAAGCAGAATCTAAGTTTAGGTATTCATTTTCATTCAAGATACCTATGAGATAATATGAAACCTTATGGTGGTAGTTTTAGTTTATGTTGTTTCAAACATTTATTTTCTTTGTCAAAGTAGTTTTACTTTAAATACTGAAAGTGATAGAAAAACTTAAAAACTACAAACCCAGAGAAAGTCTTGTGCATTCTATTCTGAAATTATTCTGGCTTAATAATCTTCTCTGAGAGAGATATAATGTTGTTATCTTTTTCCCGACCTCTAAAACAGAATCATCGTCAAGTATCAAGCATTACATATATTTCATATTTACAACCTGTTCAATACCATCCATTTGAAGAATGACCTTAAACCACTATGATGATAACACGGTCTGGCCAGGTTTGCCGTTGTTGGTTTTGTCAGTAAAACCATACATCCTCCCACTTCATCAACACCTAGTGTGATATTTAACACACCATATGGCATTCTTTGCTTTGTCGATAGGAATTAATGTACAAATGAGGTTTTAGCCAGGTTACGGAAATTCAAAATGATAAATGGCTTGGTTACGAAAGAAACAATTCTGTCATGACTTGGTGTCGGTATAATTTCTATGGTAACAATATATATGGTATCATGACAGAATGGAGAACCCCTCACTTAGCCCAGAGACCATCGACATAACGCTCTCAACTCTATGAAGCATCTCCTCTCCCAACTACTCATTAATTCAAATTGAAATCCAAGAGCTCTTCTACGTTGAAGGTAAGTTTAGTTTGCTTTATATAAGTATCTGACCCTTGACAGACCCTTAACCAACCCCTTGATTTAAGTGTATCGTTCGGGTGTCCTCGTGAAAAATCCTTGTATTAGCCCCTTCATTGAAGTGTATTGCTGGGCATTCTTGAAGCCAGTCAATGGGTGTTCTAGGCGCGAGCCCAGTGCCCAGAGATGGCTATATCGAGGATGTCTTGAAGTGTAATTAACAATTACATGTTTAGTGAAAACTAATTATTTCATTTATGACAATTGTGTTTAGTGTTTGGCATGTGTTCACAATTTGATATTCATTTATTGAGTCTTATCTGGAATGTGTTTATCTGAAAGCATAAATTTGTGTACAAAATGACAGTAAACATTCCATAGTAACGAATGGTTTCCTTCTTTGTGATCTGTTTGATATAGGAGAAGTTGCATGAGGACAAATCATGCCTTGAAATAGGTATAAAAATAGCTGTGTAATACCGTCACGTGTCCGGTTTTACTTGAAATAGGTATAAAAATAGCTGTGTAATAGAAATACCGTCACGTGTCCGGATTTACTTGAAATAGGTATAAAAATAGCTGTGTAATACCGTCACGTGTCCGGATTTACTTGAAATAGGTATAAAAATAGCTGTGTAATAGAAATACCGTCACGTGTCCGGATTTACTTGAAATAGGTATAAAAATAGCTGTGTAATACCGTCACGTGTCCGGATTTACTTGAAATAGGTATAAAAATAGCTGTGTAATACCGTCACGTGTCCGGATTTACTTGAAATAGGTATAAAAATAGCTGTGTAATACCGTCACGTGTCCGGATTTACTTGAAATAGGTATAAAAATAGCTGTGTAATAGAAATACCGTCACGTGTCTGGATTTACTTGAAATGTCGTCATAATTCATATTTATCAATATGTGCCATAGCGTTTAGTACAAATATGCATTGAAATCTAATTTGATGACGTCATGTTGATAGGAAATTAAATAACTGCTTGTAAATTGAATGATATGCAATAACAAGTTTACAATAAAACTGATTGATCTACAGAAAAAATTGGAAATTAGTGAGAAATTATTAAATACAAAATAAATCATTATATAAAATATCACGAGTTTTAGATTTGTATGAAAACAGTACGTGTATTTGTGATATTATTTCTATACTTTTAATTTTCATTGTACAGGTATGAAGGTTAAATAAAACAAACAGTCTATCGACCACACAAGCATCAAAGTAATGTCTCTTTATCTGTAACAGAAATGGTAGCAAATATAACAGTTTACCCGTTTGTAATATAAATACATTGGTTTGGATGATATATAAATGTGCTGTTATGTAGATAATGCTATTGATAAATAGTGTAAGGGTAATGGTGAGAAATGATGTATTAGATAAGCACATGTTACAAATATTAATTATACTGTATTCACTGCATTTTCAGGATTTTTAACTACAAGGAGGCATATGCTTCTGCAATTTCGTTCCTTTTAGTGAGGAGTAATGAAGCAATTTACGTTATTCAACGAAGTATCATGATTTCATTTCTTGATTTCGTATTCTGTAAAATCATATCTTTTCCTGGGACTCAAATTTGATGGTTTCCGAAAATTATACGTTTTTGTTGATATTTTATTTTCTTATTAAATCTTGTTCATGAAACCGCAAGTATGAAAATCAATGTCAAATTTTATCGTTTTGTCGATATATAAATTCGTGAATAAATCCCTCACGAAAATTAACTATTTAACGGTAGTATTTTAAAGTGTTACCAAGCCCTTGGAAAATATATATATGATAATTAACTTGCATAACATATTTCACAAAATATACTCACAGTTACATTTAGTTCAGTCATCATCTTTGACCAGATCTAGTAGAAATCCCAGAAGTACATTATTAGTATTTGCATTTTTTGTTTGAGGTTTAAGTTGCTTACAAATCAAACTACGGTATTGACATGTGACTTTACAAAGCTGAACAAACCTAACCATTTTTTTTAAATGTTGATTGTAAATTGCTTCATTTTATGCAAAGTATATTTGCATGTCAGATTAAAAATCACGACTTCAGCACACAAAAATAGCCAATTGTCTTTAATGACAAATAGAAAAAAATTAAAAGGTTTCACATATACTAGTACGAGTGCAGGGAAATAATCTTTACAGCCCTTCCCTTATTGATTTGAATTTGAAATACCATTTTTTGTTGGTATTTCATTTTTGAAATGTGATATGACATACATATCATATAGACGTATAGCCATAAATGAGACTATCAAATTAAAATCCATCTTTTAAAAATGAAAAAAATATCCAGGATCAATTAGCACATTGTTTTTTGAGTGATATAACTTCCTTTAGATTTCAAATCCGTTCGAGGTATCGGCGAATACTACAAGATTGAAATGACAAAGGTTTACAGAAGACGCTTACTGTTCTGGAACACCTTGTATTACTAACCTTGTACATTTTCAGCGGTCTCCGTGTAGATATTTTTGTTCATATTTTGCTCTAGGTTAATGGAATTTGAGTTTGGATTATGATTATGTTGACCGGTTGTTATTTTCTTGATGTTTCATATCGGTACTATGGAATCACCATTAGAATTTGCAGTTCTGACTGGACAGTCGGCTTACTAAATGACTTTGCAATTTTGCACACACTTCTGTCGCTGTCTATCGACACACGAGCGATACCTTACGTTTGTGTAGACTTATAGACTATATTACCCATTGTAAATAAGCGTTATCATTCCGAGCTCTTTCTCCTTGTAAATCCGTATTTCTCTGTCAACATGTCATACATCAAAATGTCAACTGTATTCTGATCTATCCGGGGTGGACTGGGGCGTGTACTCTCTACTATCAGTAAAGTGAACTAAGGATGAAAACATTACACTACTCTTTGTAGGAAAGGACATCAAAGAGTACCGAAGAGTATATCTATTTCATTGATGATAAGAGAGGAAAACGTGCGAAGCCACGGCTTTATCACATAACTCGTGTCGATTTCATTTAAGCGGAATCTATCAAGGTAGGTGTTAAATTGTCAGCAAGTTCTCATTCGCTTTGTTTGCGGATGCCGTGAAATGAGATCGTCATAATTTGATGATATTGTAATGGAGTTTTGTACAATGAGTAACGATTTAGGAACGTTTTCAGTTGAAGCTAATCTAATACAGCCTGTAATGATTGTCTTCTTTCCAATTAACGCGCGTGTCAGAAATCCAAATGATATATTGCGCGTGTAATCATGATAAATTAAATTTATTAAGCATAAACCTAAAATTAAAATAATGACTGTTAAAATTTACATGTTTATTTATTGGAAATTTTGTTAACCTTTGATTTTTAAAATTATTATTTTTTTCTTGTTATGAATACTAATTAGCATTTTTCGGTTTAACTTCTTTACTGATGGTATTATCTACCACATATCACAAGTATTTACTCATCATCCACTGTTTATCTGCTGTTAATATTGGAAATGAATGTGACGCTTATCAGGAAGTATGTATCGATATATGGGCCTAATGTAACTCCCGATCTAGATTGTGACATTACTTTTTACCATTTTTGATTTCCCTTAGTTGTATAGGTCCTTAGCATCGCTGACTAGTCATAGAAGGACGAAACAGCTGTGTATTACAGTCCAATATTTAGCTTTTTTATGTCTAGTTCTTAGTTTGTATTGATAAGTGCTATTCACTTGTGTGTCTCTTGTGGAATTATTGTGATATACAAGATTTTACAATATAGCAGAGAAGGCCTTGCATGAGTTTCATATGACACTAGTGTAGACTTTCATCTATTGTTTGTCTCAGATTCGACTTGTTCGATAGGTTCGGATTTACTCTTTATCAGTGTTGTAACGCATTATTCCAATCATTACTGATGTCAATATCTCACAATCTGATGACGTGACATTCAATTTGGTGTCATTAACATTTGTTCATAAATTGAAATGTAACGTCATAATCTCACATTCTGATGACGTGACATTCAATTTGGTGTCATTAACATTTGTTCATAAATTGAAATGTAACGTCATAATCTCACATTCTGATGACGTGACATTCAATTTGGTGTCATTAATATTTGTTCATAAATTGAAATGTAACGTCGTCATCCCACATTCTGATGACATGACGTTCAATTTGGTGTCATATACATTTGTTGATAAACTGAAATGCTACATTAATACATATGTATTTTCGTAATATATACGGTAGAGTTTTGATAAAAGAAAATACTGCGATGTAAAAATATTACCATATAAGATTTTTTTATCTTGCAAAATCTGTCAGAACAGATCTTTTTGTTTGCGTTCAGTTATGTCAAGAATTTTTGTAATATTTTCTCTTATTTTCTTATAATGGGAACACACATGTTTTGTTCTAAAATCAATATAAAAATTAATGCATCATCTTATCAAAGGTGTTTGGTTATGTCTTATATAGTGGGTTAACAGTTCTCAAGAGAGTAAGAATAACAGATCAAGACAACACTTTAAAAAATTTAAATGAAATCGTCAGGAATAAGAATTATTGCCCTGAATTGGTACGGTAACTGGTAAATATGAAAATAAATGAGGTGTGTTACTTTATAATAATACACATTGTATGCTAGGTAATATTCATAGAGGATTGAATTTCGGGGGAAATACGATCGTTAAAGATGGTATGTTTTATATGTTTAAAAACGAATTTATCATCTACAAATGTATGTTGTATATCTTTGTACTTATGTATACTAATTAAAAGAGAAGGGCGAAATTTCTGTGAACTAAATAAATGTATTTATAATCGGGGCAACCACGAAATATTAGACCCGTTTAGTTAAGGAACCACAAAGTATTATTTTATGATAATTACATTAATGCTATGTTTCATTCTTAAGTTCTTTTTATCACTAATGTTCATTGTGTTTGTATCAGGTTAAATGTCCTAATGTTGAAAACTTTTGTATTTGTATCAAATAATTGTATCGATATCCATAACATCACAACTACAAAATCAGTATGAGTAAAACTAGGTAATCGATCGTATTGGTATCGATCGATAAAAAGTAAAGAAAAGAAGAGTAAATAGTCATTAAACCCTGCAGTGATATTACCAATTCAGGACTCAACATTGGTGCTAAATATAAGGAAAACTTGTGAATTACACGTTTCGAAATAACAGTCAAAGCAAAAATGGAGAAGCGCTTTCTACCCCTTTCATAATAACAGATATTAAACTTGTTTTTACAACTAATAAATGTTCATTAGATATTTTGATCAAGCTTGCAAAAAAAAAATGTTTATGACGTTACTACTTATCTCAGGGGTAAATACCTATAAATGCAATTGGATACTGATTAATATCGAGATCAAAGTTTCGGTCTGTACCCATCTGCAAACATTAATTCATATAGATGTAGAAAAAAACACGGACATATCAACATGTGAACAGAATCATAATACAAATTCCATAAAACTGGCGCAAAATATCATATAATTTAAGATTTTCACGGAGACCAATGAAAAAGTACAAGGAAAATAAGACCAGGTGTTTCGGAAGGGTAAACGTCTTCTGCTTAAACGACGTCAATCGCCATGTAATTTCTTGGCAATCCAAATAGGTATTGCTATATTCCCAAATGAGAACAAAATTTACAACAACGTAACCAACAGGCAAAGAACGAACACTAAACACCTGTAGCTTCTTATCGAACAAAGAAGTAAATCATATCTAAGTGATATCAATATAACAAATTATTTCATGTAAAAATGTCATTATATAACTTTTGCATATTTTGTACTATGTCATAAGGGTGAAAATTGAAATGATTAATGTTTGATATCAGAGATCGGGTGAATTTACCAACGGGTCAAAAAGGAACAATCCGGCAGAATTATTCCCTGCATATTATTTGTGAAGTGAAATATTATCACACTTTCTATAACTATCACAAATATTTGTTATTACACGAATTTGATGAATAATTGAATTCAAAACATGCATTATAACAGTCCAGGTGATTGTTTATAATATTTCAAACCACCTGGAACGACCAAAGTCTCAATGTTTATAATAAAGAAACAAACTGCAAATATTGACGTGACTTTAAATACCATCATGTGGAGAAGCCGTCCCACAAGCGGCAAGATACCACCCAATCAAATAAAGTGACAAATCCCACTAAATCACAAAGGCCAATGATTTGGAGGAGTTTGGAAAACATCTGCTCCTTAAATGGCACACTTGTAATGATTTTCGGTGGCGTCTACAATGTCACCACACTGATAAAACACTAAAAGATAAAAGTCTTTACGAAGTAGGGTATATGAGGTTATAGGTCAAGATTAAAGAGCTACAAACTACCCCAGAGAGCAGAAGATCCCTGTAGACATGAAATGCCGTGTTTTTGTATTGATCTTGGTCGTCGGGGAGCTTTGCCTGGTGTCTTGACCTTTGCCATCTAACCGTTAAACGATATAGACACATATGTTAGTTTCTAGAACTGAAATGGACGCAGTGGTATTCATTTATCTGTCTGTCATACCTAGGTGTCCGAAAGAGAAACCTATCTATCTGTAGTTTGGAATTTATTCAAATAGTTCTATATTTGTTTGAAAACTTTGGAATGATGATCACGTTAGTTAAGTTTCACTAAATCTGTATATATCGAGTTCCTGCTTCACAGTTTATATAAATATGTTCAGTGAATGTACTGGTTTGTGACTCCTATCAGATAAAATGAATTACATAAATCTTCAAATAGCAGCAAACATCTCGTGAAAGTGCGCGAGAAGTCTTGCTGTGGGAGGAAACCGGAGTATCCGGGAAAACCCATGCGTTCGGGGAGGTAACCCCATACCTTTAGACGTACAATTGGTGAATTGTACCCTAGTCGTTTTGGCGAAAGGCTACATGTTTATAGATACATGTATTTTATATTTCTTAACCTTCTTTCAGTAAACCAATTGATGTCAATGAAGACGATACTGGACTTCAAGATAAAATGATGGAACAGGTAGATAAATATCTTATGTCAATAAAGATGATTTATTGAATCAGAACTAGATAACTCCGATATTGAAATTCTTCATGTAGCAACTGTTTACTTTCTAATTAACCGTTCGGTGATTAACATTATAAACTTAGCTAGCATCTTCACGAATAAGTTGGCTTATAGCAAAAGAAAAAAATAACCATAAAAAGTGGTATTTTAAATCGAAAAGAGCAGTATCACGACAGACTTATTTTTACAAGTTATAAACTATTTGTTCGTACTTTTTTTAGTTTTGGTTTCGGCTAGTTTGGTCACCAAGTACACTTCACAAACATAATGTCTGCTTCAGTTTACATGTCGCCTTATTTGCCGACGATCGTTGCTTTATTTGTTTATAAATGACTCATGAGAGTTACAGTCGTCTAAACTTGACAGGTGCCCAACTGTAAACTCATGACAAACATGAAATGCACATGTCATTGTAAATTTTCCATTCGTCCTTTAATTGTCAACGCATAAGCCAATATTGCACAAGTAAAATCCCGGTACAAGATTGACGATTTCAATTTCGCCTTTTCAAAAGAAGGAATAACTATGATTTAATTCTATTTTACATTCAAATAATGGGTATTCCTTATCTCGAACATGCCGAAACTTGGATTTAGAAAAATATTTAGTCTAATAAGACAACGTATTAAATACTTTATAGAACATCAAAACATCTCTGTAATATAATTGTCCAATATAAGGCAATAAATTAGGTCTCGCGGTGATTCAATAATGGTAGACGTTATTTGGTCATTAGAGGCACACGTGATCAACATTTCTCAAATTCTTTGTTTTTATATCTTTAAAAAAAATCCCACAGTTTGCTACCAAATTATATATGACAAATATTACCATCCAGAATGAATCAATATATTTTTATTTATATTCTAAATTACCTACTTGGTATTATAATTTTTATGATTTTATCAAAGTGAAAGTATAGTTACGACAGAATATCATACAATTGTGTTAGAATAAAGGAGGTTAACT